TTATATAGTATAATATCAAAAAATTAAAAAATAATATTAAATAAAAGTGAAAGAAGAATAATATTTTTTAAAAAGATTGTATTAAATTAGTTAGAGAAATATTAGTAAATCCTATAATTAGTTATGGAAATAATACAATCCTAAAATTAGATTTGGAAAGTATCCGGTGTATGTATCCAAACCCATTAATCTATCCAACTTTAAAAGATCCAATTACAAATTTCGGGTAATTTCTTAAATTGACCCGACCCGGAAGCACTTTTTGTACTTCTTTTTTACTAATATAGGGATAACATACTTTATAGGTTTATTTTGGTTGATAATATCTCAACAATTTAAACCATGTCCGACCTTTTAAACCATGCACCAAATGAGTCTAAGGGTTTAGGTGAAGGCTCAAATAGTTCAATTTTATCAATCAGAGGAAGAGATTACTCGTTTGTCAAAAGGTGGGAACCAACAATAGTACGATGTCAATCTCATAGTTTTTAGAAGTATGTAGACTAAACTGTCACTTGGGATGGTTATGTTTACATAAAAATGGAAGCATCGGGTTGCTAGGAGCCAACAATGGAAGAAGAAGTTTATTCCATCTACACTAAGTGTTCGAGTGTTTAAACATTTTGGTGCATCGACAAATCATTTTAATTTAGTTTTGAATGTAGTTTCATTCATAGCGACGAATATTTTCTAATGGACAAATATCTTTGTTCTTCATATTAATTTTAATGATTGTTTGTTTACCGATTTATGCATTGTTTTAAATTTAGTAACCAGTTATAGTTTGGTTCATACGATTAAAACTAAACATATCGATGTTTTGTTTGTTAAATTTTGAAATTTATTACGTCCAAAACAGATTGATGGTAATAAAAACTTAGTGTATTTATAGAATAATATGTACAATTTTTTTAATTAAAAAAACAAATAATATGAGAAATTATATAAATAAAGAAGGATTTTTTTTTGCTTCATTAGAGGAACTGAGGAAGGGAATAAAAAAATCCACAACAAATGAAGTCGATACGTATTTGTCGTGGCCGTAAATTCTCAAATGTATAATTCAAATTCTAAGTACATATGGGCTGTGTTTAAATGTTTTCTCCTAGTTTCATATAATTTCTTTATTTTTCAAAAATCGATTTTGGGACTATATAGTATAACAAAACAATAAAAATGCGACTTTTAGTGTTTCAAAGTCAATGTGTTGGAGTCTTATGAGCTAAAACGCGTTGTTAGTTATCAGAGATATTATTATCATGGAATCAAACATTGCATTTTCAAAGCTGCCCAGCTGTTTTTGGTATGGATCCATCTTCCTTCGTTTCTTTGGCTCTATTTTAATTACATTATACTATATATATAAAGAGATATTGTATGCATTAAACTATTGGATACAAAGCTATTTTTTATTTTATTGTAATTATGCATAATTGGGATCCTCGTGGTTGCAAATTCTGATACTAATGAGGATTTCAATTCACTAAACTCGATTTTCTAAAATATTTAAATTGATTTATTAAGCTCAATTAGAAGAACTTTAGTTAGCAACAAAATTAGAAGAACTTTGTCAACGACGGTGGCAATGTGTTAAGACTGTTAGGCAACTTTTTAGGTGTGACAATGTGACTATCTATGCATATAATAATATAGAGTCAATTATCTTAAATTCTCCATCGTTTCCACCTAAATTAAGTAACTAACAATCTAAGATATGTACCAATTAAAGTGATTACAAAATAATTGTCTTTCGTTTTGGAGTTTTGATAACTTGTTCAATTGTTACACGCTTATAGAACAATATGTATACATAGATAGATCTAGTTTGTGAATTTACAATGTTACAATGCATCACCATATACTTTTAGTGTAAATCTTAACTACAGTCCATCACTTATCATTAAACGCACCTGCAATTTCAGGAATAACATTATTCTACCGAACATACAAAGGTGTTTTGTTTTATTATGAAATTATATAACTTTATATTATTATCAGGGTTAATAAAAAAGAACAAGGAAAAGCAGCTATGTACAGTATACTTTTCACTTTCATATTAATAAAAAAAATTGTTAATATGTTAGGAATTTTGTAGGAAGAATCATAAGCTATTGTTAATTAGTTACTATGAAAGTACATACTACATAGTATACTTGTAATTTTATAGAAATGTATATTTTTGATGTTAAAAAAAAATATATATATATATTTTAAAAATTAACCATTAAAGCATCAAGTTCAAGTATAGAATGCAATTTTTTTTCTTGTCAACAACATTAAAAAAAAAAAGATTGATGAGAATTTAGACAAAATATCATAGATTGTTTCAACAGGAACAATATTTTGGTCAACACGCACAAATAATTGAGCTCAAGAAGAGTCAAGACCCATGAATCATGCATGTCCTGGTCCACCTTAAGACTTTGCATTTAAATTAAACTAATTATATCTTTCTTTTCTTTGAACAAAAAATTAATTATATCTTAAAAAGAATTTTGCAGTTCGTTTATACTGCACTCTGGTTATCATCAAACACTAGCTGAAATTATTTTGTTTTCATCTAAACTAATTCAATATATATAGTATTTTGGTGGTATTTTTTTGTCACTATTGCATGCTTTATAGGAATCTTTAATTGGATATGCATGTAAAAAAAGAAAAAGCAGACTATTCGAAAACGATGGATTATTCCGAGCCAAAGACTTGACTGTGACGTTCACTTTAATTCTGATCAAACATTCGTTTAGTTAGCATGTTCTTAGCTAGTATTTGTTTTTCTGATCACTTTACTAAATCTTTTTATTAGTATGTTTTTTTCTTTCTCTTAAGCTAAGTAGTGACAGAATTGTAATATGTGAGTGTTTTTGATCGATAACATAATTTTTATGTATATATCAAATTCAAGCCGATGACATGATATTTTACATTATAAGGTATCATGCGAAAAACACACGGAAGATTTTATCATACTATCTGCAAAGTAATCCAATAGAAACAGAATATTTTTGAACAAAAAATAGACAATGCGAAGTCGGTTTTTATAATAAACATTTATAAGAAAACGATAGTGGTTCTTATAAAAATACTATACAGTATATAATAATAATACTCTCAACTAACGCATTAATAATAACTTCATTGAAAAAAGAGTAGACTGCAACTAAATTAACTCCACGTGGTTGGATTGAATTCGATTTCTTAAGTGCATGCAGGTGCTTCTACAAAAGACTCAAATTTATAACTAACCTCATTTTCAATAAAATAAAATAAAAATTAAAAACCTCGTTTAACAAGAAAAAAAAAAGAGTTTAACCCGTAATTCTAGTTTATGAAAGTTAATATTGTAAAAAAAATGTATTCGCTAGTGAAAAAGAATTGCTCCATATATAACGTTTTAAGTTTCATAAAGAAACGTTAAACTGTTTGGTAAAATAAAACGGAAAGTGACACGTACAGAAAATGTAATGAATATGGGAAAAATACGACACACATGTTATAAGCTATATGCCGACATAAATATGGACAGACATATAAATTGATGAGAAGCTTTAAAATTTCATGTGAAGAAAGGTTTTTTTTTTTTTTCCTACATTTTTTAAAATATATATATATTCACGTTCAGCGAACCGAATCAAACCAGGATGTTACAACGTAGATAGAACAAATCATACCATTCAAAGTTTAAAATCGATGTCGTAGTCTGTTACAACGATCAGCTTAGGGTTTTTATTGTTCGGCTCCCATATGTAGTATTTTAAGCCTTTCACACTAACACTGACTAAAATATTAATCCAACGATCTATGAAGAAGCAAGAAATAGCTAGTGAAGTCACAGTACATGCTATGATAGATTAAAAATCTATTAATAATATCGATATTTAGGATTTGGGTAATTATGATAGAATGGTCCTTTTTCAAAGCCAAAGAGATGTGTTATATCTAACACATGAACAAGTAACCAAAGAGACAAACTCTGTTTTGTCAATTTTCAAGTTCCCTTTCGTTTGCTAATCAATGATGTTTAGATAAAATAAATAGAAGAAAGAAACTACCCACTAAATCTATAGTTAAGAACATGACTAAGTGGAGACGTAATCCCACTAGGATAAGCAAAGACAACATGATCTCAACTCTACCAGTTACATAGATGATGTCGGTTTACTCCGGTTAACCGGTTATGTTCTCATCATATTAAGTAAGTGGGTGTACAAGATTAAACTACTACACTAACGTATGGGAGTTTGAATGGTAAAAACTAGAAAGCTTGTTTTGTTTTTTTGTTTTTTTGTTTTTTGTCTTCGAAAGCTTGTTTTGTTATGAAGGGCTTATTTGGATTAAATCCTATATTCGAAAAATTTTAATCGATCTGAACCTTTAATTTTGGGCCGACATCCAATGGTTTTCTATAGACTTACTAGGGTCTTTCATATGCTAATGGGCCGAGTTCGGTAGAGTGAAACCCCAATAACAAAATAGGTAAACCCTTCGTTTCTTTTATCTGGCAGCAAATTTTTTATTTAAAATAACAATAAATTACTTGTTTTTTTACAATCTAAATCTGTAAATAATAATACTCTCGAATCTGTGAAAAAATACACTTGGAAATTTTGGAAAATTATTTGGCTTTATTTAACCCGAATAAATATTAAGCTATAAAATTTATAATTATCTTGTAAAATTTAATATTTTTTTAAGAAACTATTATCTCAAAATTTTAAAAAATTATAATGATAATAGATATTTAGTTCGAATTTATCCTCTAAATTTTGAATTTTATTAGTTATGATTATGTAAATATAAATATTTAAATTAAATAAGTAATATTTTATTATATATATAAATATATTTAAGTTTTTATTTAAAGGGAATAGCAAAGGGATACTTTTCAAAACAAAACTCAAAAATAAGGTATTTTCAAAATGACTATTTAACCAAGGTGAAAAAAAAAATTGAAACCAAAAGGATTTTTCTTTCCAATTATGTTCAACAATATCATATTTCTTTCCCTAATACAAATCACAATAAATATGATTTTTCGTTGCGGATTTTATTATATAATAAGTTCCTCTCTCAATTTCTTCTTCCTTGCATTTTTCTAGAACAATGAATAATCTAATGAGGAAAGAGTCCAAACACATTATTCTCAATTTAATGATATTTCTCCTAATCTTCTTCTTATCAACCGTCTCTTCATCTTACTCACCACACGAAACGCAGCGTTTTACCACCTCCTCCGATGACATCACTGACCTCGTCGTCGCCGCGATAAACCAAACCATCTCAAAGGTCAATCTCTCTTCCTCCAACTTCTCCTACCTCCTAAACCGTCTAGGCTCTAGCCTTAGCCACCGCGAGCGCTGTGCATTCGATGACTGTCTCGAGCTACTCGACGACACCGTCTTTGATCTCACCACCGCGATATCCGAGCTCCGATCTCATTCTCCTGAGATCCATAACGTCAAAATGTTTCTCAGCGCCACGTTGACAAATACACGAACGTGTCTCGATGGTTTTGCTTCTAACGACGAGGTAGAGGATGAGAATTGGAACTATAATAATAACAAGACGTATGGAGTGGCTGAGAGCTTGAAGGAGAGTCTATTCAATATCTCTAGCCACGTCAAGAACTCGTTAGCTATGCTAGAGGATATTCCAGGGAATATTCCGGGGAAACTAGAGGAGGACGTTGCGTTTCCGATGTGGGTCTCGGGGAGTGACCGGAACCTACTTCAAGATCCGGTGGATGAGAGTAAGGTTGATCTCGTGGTGGCTCAAAATGGTACCGGAAACTACACAACCATTGGCGAGGCCCTATCCGCCGCTCCCAACTCAAGCGAAACAAGGTACGAAAACGTTGAATATTAGGTTTGGTTGGTAAGGTGGTAACGTGTGGATGACAATAGCATTTTTTTTTTGAGCTAACAAATTTTTATAAAAGCAAAAAACAGAGTTTAGACCTCACAGAGGAAGGGACAAGGTAAATATAACAGAGCCATCTTGGCTAAACCTCGGCTATAACATTAATAGATGACAATAGCCATTATGCATGCTTTAAAAAAAAAAAAAAATCTTTTCATAATTTGTTTTGGTTAATGATTCATTCGTTCCATTTCCTTGATTTTGATTTTGATTTTGATCTTGATTTTGATTTTTTTTCTGTAATAGTATGGTTATATTTTAGATAGATCTGATGGAGAAAAAAAGAAAAGAAATCTAAGCTACTTTTCTTGGTTGAACGAAATATCGTAAACTTGTTCTATACTCATACAACAAAAAAACATATCTTAAACGTGAAGAACAAAATTTGTTTCTTCAATTACTACGCAAAATCAATGACCAAAAACTAGTACTAGTGTCTATGGAAATTTGAGATTATTAGTTTCTTTTTGTTCTTTTGTGTGTGACAAAAAAATAAAATAATGATACAAGGTAACCAACATTTCTATGAACATTAATCAAAGAATCAATAATAAATCTACATGAATATTGGAAAAGATCTCCAAATAAACTATGATCAACATGTAGTTATGCATTAAAGATGCCAAATCAACACAATTTTCCATGGATAGATATCATCATTGTCCTGTCTATTTAGTTTTAGGAGCTCCTAGCTTTAAATCATCCTAATTAAGCATAAGATTCACCTTGTATATATTTTCGTGATCTTTTTCCTTTTGTAATCGTAACCATACAATGTGTCTCAATGGGTGTATAATGATTTTGATTTTATTTTTTTATGGTAGGTTTGTGATATATATAAAATGTGGGGTATATCTCGAAAACATAGAAATAGCGAGGGAGAAGACAATGATAATGTTTGTCGGAGATGGAATCGGACAGACAGTAATAAAAGCTAACCGCAGCTATGCAGATGGATGGACAGCATTTCACTCTGCCACCGTTGGTAAATTTTCTTCTTAATTTTTCTTTTAGTCTCTCCTTCAGTTTTAAAATAATAATTGTGTGTATGCAGGCGTGAGAGGTAGTGGCTTCATAGCTAAGGACTTATCATTCGTGAATGATGCCGGACGAACTAGATACCAGGCTGTGGCATTACGAAGCAGTTCTGACCACTCTGCCTTCTACCGATGCAGCTTTGAGAGCTACCAAGACACCATTTATGCCCATTCACACAAACAGTTTTATCGAGAATGTGACATATATGGCACGGTCGATTTTATATTTGGTGATGCATCGGTTGTGTTCCAGAATTGTAGTCTCTTTGCTCGTAGGCCAAATCCTAACCAGAGAATCATATATACCGCTCAAGGCCGGGAAGACTCACGTCAACCAACGGGTATTTCTATAATCAATTCCAAGATTTTGGCTGCACCCGAGTTGATCCCTGTGCAAGCCAACTTCAAAGCCTATTTAGGTCGTCCGTGGCAGCTATTTTCTAGGACGGTTATCATGAAATCATTTATCGACGATCTTATTGATCCTGCTGGATGGTTGAAGTGGAAAGGTGATTTTGCACTTGAAACCTTATTTTATGGAGAGTACATGAACGAAGGGCCGGGGTCGAACTTGACAAACCGGGTCCAATGGCCCGGTTTTAAGCGTATCGAAACCGAGGAGGAGGCAGCTGAATTCTCTGTTGGTCCATTCATCGAAGGTAACAAATGGCTTAATTCTACCGGAATTCCTTATACTCTTGATATCTGATATAATCACTAATATTTTGGTAATTAGATCAGTATTACCAATATAGGTTTTCTTTTATACATCGTCACAACTTTGCACATATAACATTTTAAGTATGGAATAAAGACATTAGACATTTGATCACAACTTTGCACATATGACATTGTAAGTATGGAATAAAGACATTTAGACATTTGATCACGACTCGTTACTTAGCTTTACAGAGCGCACATAATTACGTGGTTTACTTTAATGAATCTTTAAAAGTAATTTATACAATTTGAACAAAGACCTTCAATAAATCAAAAGTCATTATTAATGTGTGAGTAAATACTAGTTGTATACTAAAAGTTGAAGCCGTTACTATAATCAAAAGGAATTGTGTTTGACTAACATGATATTAAATTCCCAGTTCTCTTTTAGTCAATTTGTTGTATTTAACATTCTTTGTATTTATATTGTTACCTTTGGTAGTTTATATAAGACCACACCATTCACCATTTTTTACATTTCAGCTTTGTTTTTTTATTTTTCTCTTTCAATTTGATAAAAATCTCAAAGAAAAAAGATGAATCCACCATTTAGGAAAAAACAAATACACATAGTTTTCCACCTATTGCCATTAAACTATCTCCTAATCTTCTTATCCACCGTTGTTCCGTCTTATTCACCATCATACACCACTCAGGAAACGCAGGGTCTAACCGAAACCAAAATCACCCCTGAGCTCGTTATCGCCACCTTAAACCTAACCATTTCAAAGGTTCGTCTCTCTTCCTCCAACTTCTCCGACCTCCAAAACCGTGTTGGTCCAATCCTAACCCACGGTGAACGTTGCGCATTCGAAGACTGCCTTGGCCTACTCGATGACACCATCTCAGATCTCCAAGCCACACTCTCCAACCTCCGATCTTCCTCTCTTAAGTCCCATGACGTCAATATGTTGCTCACCAACGCCATGACAAACCAAGACACGTGTCTCGATGGGTTCTCGACAAGTGGCGATGGAGATAATATTGCTATGACGTTTGAATTGCCTCAGAACTTGAAGGAGAACATCTTAAACATCTCTAACAATCTGAGCAACTCCCTTGACATGCTTCAGGTGATGTGGAGGAAGAACCCTTCCTCGGAATCATCTGAAGTTGACGTTGAGTACCCGAGTTGGGTCTCAGAGCTTGACCAGAGAGTCCTTCAGGCTCCGGTACAAGAGACCAGTTTCAATCTCTCGGTGGCCAAAGATGGAACCGGAAACTTCACAACCATCAGTGATGCCGTCTATGCCGCTCCCAACTCTAGCGAAACTAGGTACGTATCTTAACTCAATATGTAGAATATATATTCGTTTATTATTAATTTTAAATAAATTGCATCATTCTATGTCATGTTAAGTTACGTTTAATTTGTTGTTGGATAAATTCATAGTGACTCAGACCAAATAAATTGCATCATTCTATCAGACTTAGTCATTATAAATTTATTTGGTATACACGGAAATAAAAAATAGACAATAGTTAATAGATTGACGATTCCGCATACGTGTATATCATTAAGCCTAACAAAACATTACATAGTTACGTATTGATATGTGTGTGTGAGCCATTGAGAAATACACACGTGAGACATGGCACATGCAATTTAATTAGGTTTATGAAAGTGATATGATACTCTTTTGGGTTTTAACATGAATTGAGAATTGAGATGATACAGAAAAGAGATATACATGTCATGTTTTCTTATAAGTCATTGTCTAACATTAATCTCCAATGTTTTGGGGGTAGATTTATTATTTATATAAAAGGTGGTGAATATATTGAGAACGTGGAACTACGGAAGAAGAAAACAATGATAATGTTTGTCGGAGACGGTATCGGCATAACAGTCATAAAAGCAAACCGTAGCCGCGTTGATGGATGGTCAACTTTTCAAACTGCAACCGTAGGTTAGTGTTACAGTATTAAGGATGGGCTGAGACCAAATTATATCTTGAGCCCAAACAAAATCCATTTTTCTTTTTCTACTAAACAAACCCAACCTAGATTAACTAAGACATATGTAATTGTTTATGTAGGCGTGAAAGGTAAAGGGTTCATAGCTAAGGACATATCATTCGTGAATTTTGCTGGACTGGCCAAAGGACAGGCTGTGGCACTGCGAAGCGGCTCTGATCTCTCTGCCTTTTACCGTTGCGAGTTCGATGGTTATCAAGACACACTTTATGTTCATTCAGCCAGACAGTTTTACCGAGAATGCGATATATATGGTACGGTCGATTTCATATTCGGCAATGCGGCTGTTGTGTTCCAGAACTGTAGTCTTTATGCTCGTAGACCAAATCCCAATCAGAAGATTGCATTCACCGCTCAAAGCCGCAACCAGACGGACCAACCCACAGGTATATCTATAATTCAGTGTAGAATCTTGGCCGCACCTGATTTGGTCCCTGTGAAACATAGCTTCAAGGCGTACTTCGGTCGACCATGGAGAAAATATTCGAGGACGGTTATCTTAAAATCATACATCGATGATCTCATACATCCTGCTGGATGGTTGGAGTGGAACGACAGTTTTGCACTTGAAACCTTGTATTATGGAGAGTACATGAATGAAGGGCCAGGTGCAAACATGACAGAGCGGGTCAAATGGTCCAGTTTTAGACGCATCGAAAACGAAACGGTGGCAACCCAATTCACCGTCGGTCCATTTATCGATGGTCACACATGGCTTAATTCTACCGGCATCCCTTTTACTCTCGGTTTCTAATCAATAGATTTGATAATCATGAAGCAAGCTATTGTAATTACCACCGTATTGGATCGTTAACATGGGACTTAAGACTTATAAACTTATCAACATTCTTGATAAGTTTTATTGCATGTATAGTTTATGCGACATGAGTATTAAATTCTCCTATTTCAGTCTAATATTTTGAGAGTATGTGATAGACAAAAAAAACTTATAATCGTATCGTGAAAAAATTAAAAAAAAATACTGGTTTATAGAAAATAATAATGAAACTAGTATTTAATCAAAGAAACTTATTTAGTTGTCCACATATGTAATTTATGGCCTTTACCATCTGTTTTCTTTGGTTGTGCAATAATGAGAAAACTTTTACAGAGAAGCAGGAAAAAAGGAGAATAAGAAGAACATGAATCCAAAATTTATTTTGCTCTTTACATGGTGTTGTGTTTTGTTTTTGGGAGGGGTCATAATGCATGTGGAATCAAATCATCATCACAGAAGCGCACATGATAAGGGTACGACATTCCCATCCTCCTCCTCTCCATTATTATTCTACACTACTATCTTTTCTACATTTACATATATTTTAATTTTGATATATCAATATTTCCTAATCAATTTAAACAACAATATCCACATTAACATGATAGATATGACAATGTACTCTTTGGTGATCTACTGTTTTTGTAGCTACTCCAAAGGGAATTATAATGTGGCTTGTGACTTTGTGAGTCTCTCTAGCTAGTATCGTAGTTCAGTTGGCGAATTATACACATATTTTGTATATGATGTTTGATATCTCATAATGTGGAAAACGGCATGGAACAATATCATAACCTGGACGATCATCATTCATACATCTTAAAATATTAAATTAATTTTGTGCAATTATGTATTATAAAAACATTTACAAGTACTTTACAAAACTAAAAACTGATTTTCTTAAAATTTTCATTTACTTTTGTAGTGATTAACATTTTTTAAATGATGTAAAGTATATAATTAAACAAAAAAAATATGAAGGAGGATTATTGCCTAAATAATATTATATAAAAAGTAGGGTTGTGTTAAGATTTAATTGATTGTAAGAAATGTTTATATATTAAAAAAGAAGTTAATAATGGATCATACGTACGTAGCCACACACATTTGGAATTCATAATATATAGATGGCTCAACTTGAACATGGATGAAACATTCAACAAGTTTGTACTCACAATCTAAATGGATAAATAAATAAATAAATAAAAATTTGCATTTTCTAAAGATTGAACTTGCAACATGGTGCACAAGTGCTAATTTATAAGAAACAAATGCTTTATACCACCGATTATTTAGTGTTTAATTGTGTTATTCAAAATGAGCCTACATGGTAAATTAGATTGATCTGGTCAAGTCTGCCGATCATCAAATTTGTTTTATTATGAACAAAAAGACAAATATTTGTGAGCCTAAAAAAATCTAAAACAGTGTTTAATTTTGATATTTTTGACAAATTTAATTTAAAAAAAAAAAAGTTGGAGGTGCTCCCCATGCTCGTTTCCTTTATTGTGAGTCTGGACAAAACTAACGATCATCTCCATACACACTTTCACTATTTGGTTGGATGTATTCACTGATGTTTTTTGGACACAAACTAGTTCGTAGTTTCGAACTCTTTAACTCTCTAGCTGAAGATTTACCATGTTTGGAAACAAAGGAATCCACATTGACGTACCAATCACCACCCGATTGCTCACTGCTCGAAACCGTATTGTCTCGCACGGCGCTCTATCCCGAATCGAGCTAAAAAATAATGATAACCTTCGCTAGCTCCTTTCCTACCAAAACTCTCTTTGGTTCAAGTTCAGTTTTCCTTTACTCTATTTGTATATGACAAAATTCAAAAACAGTTCTAATTTTGGAACTTGTGAGAATATATAAAACTGTCTAGATAAAGTGAAGCACTATTTACATGTGATTATGATTTAGGGCCCTCGACGTTTTATTTTAATTTTCCGTAAATTAAGTGATTGGCTTGCCGATAAGTTATGTGATGATCATTGCTGTAACGCTTTTACCGTACATTATTATTCAAAATAATTGTAACCTTTTCCTTAGCAGAACGCACAACAATTCTAATTAGCGCCTGCTCATGTGTCACGGTTACGACTAATAAAGACTTATTCCTAATCATTGTTATAGTGGCCAGAGTTTATACTTCATTATATAGATTCGTATTAAAAGGCTGATCACATGCACACATGTATGTGGGGAATGATTATAATTTTTTTAAAGTCATCTCATCATTCAATACAATCTATATATATCAATAAAAATGTCCACTGAATTGTCTAGACGAGTGTTCAACGGTCTAAAACTGCTATGATTATTTATTTGGCATCTATATGACTATATGACTTATGATGCATAAGTAACAAAATCATTTAAAAACTTTAAAAGGTAATATATATACATGCATGATAGAACAGTAAACACACAAATAGGCTACTACTGTATTTGGTTAAACCGAATCTTAAATCATAACGTCCAAAAATTATAGTGGACACTTTAGAGATTCGTTCCCTCAAATTTATCTAGTAAAAATTATTTCATATCCTTTATTTTAAAGTGATACAAATTAAGCATGAAATGTGTGCTCTACATATAAAACATAATTTTGATAACCAAACTTTATAATGTTAAGAACTTAAGCAGTATCTTTGAACTATAATGGCTAGTGTGGAAAGTTTACACATCAAGAGTGAACATGTGAATATGGATTCACCCTGAAGAGTAAATATGGGAAAGGTGAAGCTAGGCTTGAGAAAACTAATCCAACTGCATAGGTGTGTGGTTTTGAACGTAACCAGCCCTCGAGAAACAGTTGTAGAACAAGTGTAGAGGAACGATCCTCTGAGGCTACACGTTACAGAACCGATTCATGAACCTGGTCCAAGCCTAGTTAGGTGTGTTTCGATCTTTCATTTTATTGTATTGTTCTCTATAAACTCTGGTAAACTCATTGGAACCAGGTTAACAAAGAAGACCAAACTAGAACATTAAAAAAAAAACTATTGATGAAAGGAAATATATATTTTGAAATACATTGATTTGTCATTTACATACTTTACTAAGCGCCGAATCTTATCCATATGACCATATACGTATTCAAAGTATAAAATCAGATAGATACATAAGTAAAAGGAATCTTAGTCATAAGTTAGATTTCGAATGGGCTTCCATCTCCCAAGCAAGTAGAAACAAGCGTAAGTACGGACAATGAGTTCTTTGTATATTTTCCAAAAACCCCCTTAGTTATTACTTTATTCTGATTTTGGACAAAAACTATTCAATTAATCTTTTTTTTGTTTTCTTTTTCTCTCGGCTACCATCTCTTTTCTTCTGACAAACCAAAAACCTCAGCTCTCCTTCTACCCATATGGGAAACACAAAAAATAATAGTAGTCAAAACTTTTTAACTAGACCACAGAGCGAGGAGAGAGAGAGAGAGAGAGGTTAACCTTTATTTCCCTCTATAAAAAGCTGAGCCACTTCCTCTGTTTCCCACAAAGCAGCTTCTGCAATCTTATTCGTTGGTTGGTTAATAGAAGCAGCTCACTCTCTCTCTCTCTCTCTTTCTCTTAGGGATTGAAATGGCTCTTCTTCTATTTTCTTCTTCCTCCTATGCTTTCAGAGTCACCATTTTCCTATCTTTCTTCTTCTTTCTCTGCAATGGTTTCTCCTACCCTACTTCTTCTCTTTACTACACCCATCACCATCGTCACCACTTGGCCAAACACAACTACAAAGACGCTCTCACCAAATCCATCCTGTTCTTTGAAGGCCAAAGGTCTGGGAAGCTTCCTCCTAACCAGAGAATGACTTGGAGAAAAAACTCTGGTCTCTCTGATGGCTCTGCCCTTCATGTAAACCACCTCAACTTTTCTCACTCTCTTCTCCTCCTTCTCTGGAGTTTTTTTTTTTTTTGGAAATATGAAATGGGTTTAGTTGTTTACTGAGAGATCTCAACAATGTAGGTTAAGTTTTGTATCAATATCGTCAAAAGATTCAACCTTTATTAATGGGTTTACTGCATAACAAAAAAACAGAGGATAAAGTTAGGGTTTTTGTTATTTTCCCCTTTTCTCAAATCCCTAATATTTTTTTCGTCAATGGGTTTGCTAAGTTAGTGCTAGATCTCAAAGATTCTCAACAATGTAGGTTAGAATCTGTATCAGTATCAGCAAAAGATCAAACCTTTATTAGTTGTTATTTTCCCCTCTTTTCCAAAATCTGTAATTTGTCTTAAAATTGGGGTTTTGTGGTTTGTTCATTAGGTGGACCTGGTTGGAGGATACTATGATGCAGGAGACAATATCAAGTTTGGATTCCCAATGGCATTCACAACCACAATGCTGTCATGGAGTGTAATTGAATTCGGTGGACTTATGAAATCCGAACTACAAAACGCTAAAACAGCGATTCGTTGGGCTACTGACTATCTCCTCAAAGCCACTTCACATCCTGAAACCATTTATGTTCAAGTTGGCGATGCTAACAAAGACCATTCTTGCTGGGAGAGACCAGAAGACATGGATACAGTAAGAAGCGTGTTTAAAGTTGACAAGAACACTCCTGGTTCTGATGTGGCCGCTGAAACCGCAGCAGCTCTCGCCGCAGCCGCTATTGTATTCAGAAAGTCTGATCCTTCTTACTCCAAAGTCCTCCTCAAGCGAGCCATCAGTGTTTTTGCATTCGCAGACAAATACAGAGGAACTTACAGTGCAGGCTTGAAACCTGACGTTTGTCCATTTTATTGCTCTTACTCTGGTTATCAGGTAATAAAAATGAGTTTCTTTACACATAAGAATCAGATTTTTGGATAAAGTTAATGAAAGATTTATTAATTAAATGATATATTGTAGGATGAGTTGTTGTGGGGAGCTGCTTGGTTACAGAAAGCTACAAAGAATCTTAAATATTTGAATTACATAAAAGTTAATGGACAAATCCTTGGAGCTGCTGAGTATGACAACACTTTTGGCTGGGATAACAAGCACGCTGGAGCTAGGATTCTTCTTACAAAGGTTTGATTTTTAATTTCAGAAAAATTCTAATATATATATAGTTTTTGTTATGTAAATGATAATATATA